GAGGTACGCGGGCCCTCCCCGCGGGGGGGGGGGGCTCCTGGGAGCCTGCTGCTTGTTGGGGAGGGGGGGGGGGGGGGGGGAAAGAGGGGTGCTAATGTCAGGGTGTCCCTCTCTCCCCCCCGCCCCACAGAGCAGGGTGGGGGGACACAACAGGGCTCAGGACAGAGGGAACTTGCTGGCAGCAGTTGCTATCTCAGCTTGCTGATCTACTTAAAAAGGCAATGTGTTGTGACGAAGTTCCTCCTCTAGCTTGGTGGGTCCTGCGCTTATTGGCGGATTTGCTCACTTCAGAGATTCACCTTGTAGGTCAGGAAACAGCCCAGAGACCTTCCCGTCTGGTAGAAGCCACAGTCCAGGTCAATGCCTCCTGTGTCTGATTAGGAGTTGGGAGGTTTGGTGGGAACCTGGGCCCGCCCTCCACTCCGGGTTCTAGCCCAGGGCCCTGTGGACTGCAGCTGTCTAGAGTGCCTCCTGGTACAGCTGCACGACAGCTACAACTCCCTGAGCTACTTCCCCATGGCCTCCTCCCAACACCTTCTTAATCCTCAGCACAGGACCTTTCTCCAGGTGTCTGATAATGCTTGTATTCCTCAATCCTTCAGCAATACACCTTTTCACTCTCAGCTCCTAGTGCCTCTTGCTCCTAGCTCCTCGCATGCACACTACAAACTTAAGTGAGGTCCTTTTTAAACTCAGGTGCCCTGATTAGCCAGCCTGTCCTAATTGATTCTAGCAGTTTCTTCTCAATTGGCTCCAGGTGTCCTAATTAGCCTCCTTGCCTTAATTGGTTCCAGCAAGCTCCTGCTTGTTCTGGAATTGCCCCTGTTACCTTACCCAGGGAAAAGGGATCTACTTAATCTGGGACTAATATATGTGCCTTCGAACACTCTCCTGTAGCCATCTGGCCTGACCCTGTCACAGTACTTAGAGTGGGGTCAGCCTACTTAAAGGGGCAATGCATGTATGTCTCATGCAAATGGTGTGTCTCCCCTCCCTCCATTCGTGCTGCCTTGTAGAGCATGAGGCTACGTTAACAACACTGTGTTAACCCTTGAGGGCTCAGCCGAGTGCTAGTTCATCATTTAGCAGTAAGGTATTCCCTGGGAAATATCCTACTCTCTTCCACCCTCTGGCTTCACCAGCTCAAACAATCATCATTGCTGTGTACAGTATTAAATTGTTTATTTAAAACTTATACTGTGTGTGTGTGTGTGTGTGTGTGTGTGTGTATGTATGTATGTATATATATATATATATATATATATATATATTTTTTTTTGTGTGTGGTGAAAATTTTTTCCCTGGAACCTAACCCCCTCCTATTTACACTAATTCTTATGGGGAAATTGGATTCGCTTAACGTTGTTTCGCTTAAAGTAGCATTTTTCAGGAACATAACTACAATGTTAAGTGAGGAGTTACTGTAGTTAATGTTTTAATCATATTGCTGTTAACTGTAATAAAGTTTTGAGTGTGTAGGAAAGAGTATGATTGAACTGTTGTGTAACCTACTAGTGATGACTATTTCTTTATTTTACTAGGATATGTCCAAAAGCACAGAGATACTGAAGAAATTAGTGACAACCAATGAAATTCATAACAACATTTATACATAAAGATAAAGTGGACACTTATCACTAACCAGTACATTCAAGTCTGAAGAGCACTTTTGTCAACTCCAGTTGCTTATTTGAAGATATTTTGGAATTATAGCTGCTTCTTTAAAAGTGGAATAAATCCTAATAGATTTTTTTATATTTTGAGATACTCTTTATTTGAGCAATTTTCAATGCCTAGAGTGACTTAACACATGTCAAATTTTCTTGCTTCACTAGATGGGAGTATATTTTTAACAGTTTATTAACCCAAAGAGACGACTTGAGGATGAAATGCACATTTTTCCCTTAAGTGAATCGAATGACTTGTTTTAAATATACACGTGCTATATTCAAAACAGAAAAGTAGGTTTGATTGATGTCTAATGATGTCATACTTCGTTACATTTATTTTGAGTTATAAAAATTGAGTTGTCTTAAATCTATGTGGGTGATCTGAATAAAGATACTCAGAAGTTCTCAAATTTTATATACAAAATATTTATGTTAAAAATACCATGGTAAAGACATACTTGGAAACCTACTTATGTGTAAAAATACGATTCAGGATTCCACCATTTGCATTAGTAAAAGTGGTGGGAACATGGAATTATCAGCTATCTGGAAGCAGATGAAATATGTGACTCCATTTTTACTTCACTTTGGAACTTGCCTCAATATTTTAGCCACCTTTCTCTTACATAAAGAGAAATTATACTTTATAGTAGTCAGAAATTTTGCAGGTCAAAACTGTTTCAATAAGCTTTTAATCTTAACAGCACCTAGCACAATGTGGTCCATGACTCTTAACATGCTGCGACAATACAAAGAAGAAATAATAATCAAAACTGACTTTAATATTAAGTCTGTCTACATCCATACAATAAAAATTTGCTTCAACCGTTTTAACTGAGTTGACAAAGGAGTAGTAAGAACAACAGTCACCTTTATGCTGAATAAGAAATTTTCAAAGAGAAGCAAATAGTTTAAATGTTCAGTATTTAAAGTTGAAATGATTTTAGAGGTTAATATTTTAAGAACCTATGGTTTATAATGTTGTTCTGACTGTGTTTTTAAAATTAAATATTGGAATTGGCACAAAGTTGCGGTACATTAACTGTATATTGTCCCTGACAGTGTATTCAAGATTATAATTGCAAATGTGGCATGAAGAGTTAATATTCTGTTGTAGCCATCTGCATCAGAGTGCTGTTACTAGAATGAGAACTTTAAAATGTATTTGGGTCATTTTACAGGAAAGAAAGATTACTTTCAATCTACTGTGGCTTAGATCGTTCTCAGCATAGTCAGTTTGATTTTTTTTATTGTGAAAGCTCACTGGAATATTTGTACCAATATACTTTTGTGTCTTAACTGCATTACTTTGCCTGGTTCTGAAATTTCTGACTCGCTTTATATTGTGCTAGAATCTCAACTGCCCCGGCTATATTTGGCCTTATAGTGTGATAAATGATGCAGGTGAGACCAAGTCTTCAGCAAATTTTATTAGTGTAAAGCCTCTCATCATTGGGCACTTTCATTTAAAGTACTGTTAATATAGTAAGAGTTTAGAGCTCAGGAAAACAAGTGGCCACCATTATATAAGTGGTATATTTTGAAACATACAAGCAAGGAGACCTTTTTTCTTTTTTTACTTCTAAACCAAATTTTACTTAGTTTGAAGAAAACCTGTTTCTACGGTTGCTTTGTAGGTCTGACCTGAGATGAAAATATTTTTGCCATGAAAGGATTGTTCATTGGCTACCCCAGTTGCTTGCTTATACATTTCAAATGTGAATATTGTTTATTGTAAATTGAAGATTACAGAGGAAAACCTTGAATAAATAACAATACCTGTAAACTTTTACAGCAGTGGTTTTCAACCTTTTTTCATCTGCGGACCCCTAAAAATTTCAGATGGAGGTGCAGGCCCATTTGGAAATTGTAGACATAGTCTGCGGACCTCTGGTTGAAAACCACTGTACTATGGTAAGAGGTCTGCAAAAGGTTGCTGTTCGACATAGTGTGTGGACCCCCAGGGGTCTGCAGACCACAGGTTGAAAACCACCATTTTACAGAAATAGAAAGTATCTTTCTAGTTTGTCTTGTTACCACTGCAGTTGTAACTTTTCAAAATAGTTCCTCAACTACAGCTGAATTTACTCCCAACTTATACTAAGCAAAAAGGAAAATTTATGTATTTACTATGAAGAAGGTTTAAAAAAAAACCACCACTGATAAATCCGAAGTCTGGAAATCAAAGCTAGAAAAATTAGAACTGGGAATCAAGTGTATACTGTATTTCTAACAAGGAGTAATTTATCAGGGGATGTGATAGGGTCTTTGTAACTTGAAATCTTCAAATCAGGACTGAATGTTTTATAAAAGATGTGCTCTAGTCCATATTCGTCTCACTGAATGAATTACTGAGTGAAGTTGTGTGGTCGTGACTATGCAGGAGATCAGATTAAATCTAATGGCCTGAAAATATGGGTCTGATCCAGTGGAACAAACAGCTGGGCAGGGCTCCCTCCACTAACTCCACCCCTCAGACCCAGTATGCGGCCCCTGCACCTCTCTCCACTTCCACCAGGACATCACATGTATAAGGCGCTCCCCGAATCTCCTGGGGTAGGGAAGAGAACAAGAGCCAGCCTAAGGTTCCTTCAACAGCCCGCTACAGGTTGGATCCACCATGCCTATCCCCTCTCTTGGGTGCAAGCTCTCCCTGATTACCATGCATGACTCCAGTAGGCCATTCTACCTTTCCCACACCCCAGCCTTGTCATGCTCCCAGCTAATGCAGTTAGTCCTGTAGCTTGAGCCCTGTACTGCTGAACGGTCAGAGTTCAAGCACTATCAGTGATGCATGATGAGTTGTTACAATTACAGATATTTTTTACCTTTTTCCTTTTAAAAAAACCCCACAAACCTATGGGATATTACACAGCATAAACTGCTTAAAAACATTAAGGTTGCAAAGTCAAGTGCTCAAAAGTAAGGAATGGCTCATGCAACCTTAATTCAGCCCCCTTGTGCATATGCATGAGGATAGTCTTGAAATTACATAATTGGATACTATTTTTTTCCATAGGACCCCTGCCTCATTAAGAACAGGATGGAGAGTGCCCAAGGAATGAATCAGAATTATGTAGTTAAGGAAGTTGTTTGTAGGATCCCAGCTTCATTTGCTCTAGAAGTTGGAAGATATATTAGCAAACAAGGTAGGAGACTGCAGGAAATGAGATGATGATTTTATGGTTAAGGCAGGTGAATCCCACATAGGAGAACTCATTTCTAACCCTACTTCGGTCACAGTCTTCCATTGTGATGCTAAGCAAGTTATGTAAGACACAATTTTGGCATGTGGCCACTAACTGTGAGTTCCTTGTTTTCTGGTTGAAACATAAAATAAGATACCTGGGCCATGGGTGATCAGTCCCTTTGTAGTAAGGTAGTAGTATCAGCAGGAGTGAGTCCCAGTCATGGCTCTGCCATTGTTTTACTGTGTCTTGCTCAGGCAAGTCTTTTTACCTTAATTTTGCCATATGTATAATAATGCTCTCTTATAGGGAAGCAGTTAGTTACTATGATGATGAATACCCTAGAAAAGACTGAGGAACTAAATGCTTCTCTTTTCCTGCCTGTATTGCAAGTTTTGGATAGTGTGCGGTAAATAATGCACTAATTGAATGATGAGGTTAAAAATATTGTGAACAGCCGTTTCAGATCCAGAACACTGCCTATCCTAGATACTGAATGAGGAAGGGGGTCTGAGGGGAAAAATACCATGTAATTAGACTGTTATAATGTACGTGTACATGGGGGCCAAATTGAGGTTGTACGGGCAAGCTACATTCTGGCATTTCCTAACTTTCAGTTGCTTGACTTTGTAACCTAAATAAATGTTTAAACATAGTCTTTGTAACATAGTTTTTGTATATGACAATATAGAATAGTGTTTGTTGGTGTGCTTAAAAAAAGCTATATTGTACGGGCTTTTAAATGTGTACATTTCTAAAAACAGATTCCTACCTAAACAGTTGCTAAAAGGAACATGCTTAGTTACTCGGGTTTTAGCCAAGGGATTGTAGCAAGCTTCCACAGTCATATTGTCCACCTTGCGTTTGAGGCTGATTTTTTTTTCCATATTTTCTTCCCCTTTGGCATCAGCTGTGTGAGAATTTATGCAAAGAATATTTACTTTGATAATTACTGAAATATAGCAGAATCTCCCTTTTTTTTAAAAACCAAATCGTACATTTGGTTGACTTTTTTAGTCTTATTCCAAGCTAGTGTAGTAAGTACATTTTATTTATTCATTAACGTATATTACGTACACCTCTTACACTTTCTAGGCGTATATAAGCATTTTAAAAAAGATAAATCCCTATTTTTTTTTCCTAACAACCCCTCCTGCAGATTAAAACAAACACACACCACTATATTGAACAGGTACCTCTTGGGTAATTGTCACTGTAGGGAATAGCAGGTTCTCTTGAAAAAACTGCAGGAGTGAGTTTCCTGGGTTTGTGTGTGCGTTTGTGTTTACCACAGCTATTTGTCTGTGAATACTCTTCACTGTGTCTTACCAAGCACTCATTCAATTATGTTTCACTGTTCTGAGAATAATAGCAGACTAAAAAGCCACGTAAGCAAACATGCAATCTTTTTTTCCTTTTGCAGTAATTTTTGACTCACTCATTTTCCTTTCTAATGTGCTCGTGTTCATTTTAGCATACAACTACCTGAAGCGATTGGGCCCTTAAATGTACAGAAATAAAAACACTGTCTTTAGAAATGTTTTCATTAGCCAGAGGTGGGCCATCTAATGCTCTAATTTTAAGAAGTATGGTCTCCCACTAACAACACCATAGTTAAGGTTGCACCATATTTTCTGTTCTACAGGGTCTGTACCTCAGTGTCTCCCCTTTTTTTGGAACTCATTTTATAAATACACCTTGGGGGACTTGAACCAAATTTTACCCACTAATTAGCATGTGGAGTGATCTCAGGTGTGT